AAGTTCAACAAATCCCACTTAATGCACTTTGGTATGATATGAATGCCTGGGATTGAAGGGTAGGGCCTTGAAAGAGCATCTTTTGTTAACTTTTTTTGTTTTGCCCCCTGTGGAATTGGAAGAGAAAGATCATTTTAAAATAGTAATAAAAATAAATATATGTGAAGAACTGAAATCTGCTTCCTTCCCTTCTCCAGAAAAAAATATTTCTTCCCTGTTAGACATAGAGATCTTGGGCTACAAAGCAATGGATCTGTAGTTCCCCTCCAGCTAACATCTGTTCTATTATACTTTATTATTTCTGAAATTTAGGTAAGCACAGATAAAAGAGAATTTGGCTCTGAGTTTAACTTAATTCTTTTAATCGGTAAGAATATTTGAGAAAGGAAAAAGAAAAAGAAAAGAAGATAAAAAAAAAAAAAAAAGAAAAATAGAAAAAGAAAAAAGAAAAAGAAAAAGGAAAAGGAAAAGGAAAAGGAAAAAAGAAAAATAAATGAAAAAGAAAATGCAAATGCAAAAGCAAAAGCAAAAAAAAAGAAAAAGAAAGAGAAAAAGAAAATGAAAAAGGAAAAGAAGGAAAAGGAAAAGGAGAAGGAAAAGAAGGAAAAGGAAAAGGAAAAGGAAAAGGAAAAGGAAAAGGAAAAGGAAAAGGAAAAGGAAAAGGAAAAGGAAAAGGAAAAGGAAAAGGAAAAGGAAAAGGAAAAGGAAAAGGAAAAGGAAGTCTGAGCAATGTTAAAAGGAGAGATGATAATGCCCTCAACCCCTCTAGTGTAGAGATTCAAAGGTAGATAATTACTTTTTGTGAGAGGGTACCAGGAGGTCTAGCAAGGGAAAAACTGCAATGAGCCATAAAAACACTGACTCTGTTGAGGCTATGACTTTTACTCTCCGGCAGAGTTACAAATTTAATTTCCCAGGCTCATCTTCTGAAGGGCGTTTTTACTGGAATGGAGGTCAGGAAGAGCTCGGGAAGTCCTCCAAAAAATGATAGTCCTCAACATACCTAGACAGACACAAACTTGTGACTTCTATGGATCAACAGAAATAAACTCGTGAACAGTACATATATGCGTGTACAGAATAACGTCTAAGAAAAAGTATTTTCTTTGTACTGTCTGCTCTCCCAAGACAACCAGTAGCACTGACAAACTTGGTTAAATTATTTTCTCCTGTACACCACTATATATCAGTGAAGTCAAAGCTGCAAAACACAAATAATTCTGATCATTCTGATTTTGGGCAGATCAAAATTTATTTGTAATCTTCAGAGTTATTTCAGTGGTCATTGTATTTGAGAGCATTGCTAACCCTGATACTCATATTAACAAATAGGGAATAAAAAAGAAGCTTTAGATTTGCCTGTTGGAAGTTGTCATGCCTTTAATTACTTGAGTGACTGACTCAAGACAGTTTCCTCTCTTGCAGGAAGATTAATGTGAACTCTATGTTAAAGTGATTAATCTTATCTACTGTATTCACATTTTTATAGAAATGAACCAAAGACTTTTCTAACCATGACTTCAGATGTGCTGTAAAAGATAATCTTCCAAGATTGACAGTAGTATATTATTATTAACAAGCACGGAGCTCCAATGCATTTGGGTGCATATTTTATAAGGTTTATAGACAACTGCCCCATAGATTTAACTCCAAAAATCCATACTCAATACTAAAGGTAGATATATTTATAGAGAGACGTGTACACATGAGATATATAATGTATAATAACGATTCTTTGATTACCTTTATATTATAGCTGAAATGAGGTGTTTGTATATTCCCATCATTTGTGGTATGTATTTGCTGGTCTAAGGTTTGCTCTGGGTAAACCTATCCTAAAAGCAAACACTCAGGTCTGTGTTACATCTCTGGACCTGTAGGTTAACTCCATGTGGTTTCAACTTCAACCTTTTAACAACAAATTATTATTTATGTAAGCTGTCAAATCCACACAGGGCAAGCAGCTGCAGAAGAAGAAACTGAAGCACATAAACCATAGTGAGAAGCATAAGGCTCCCATAAGGGACTAGTCTTTCCCTTTCTGTATTTAGTCCAGTAAGAGTGAATTATTCATTACAATCAAGCTAAAGCTCCCCCAGTCTTGCTATTTCATCCGCAAGTTAGTTGAAAATTAAAGCTCAGCGTGAAGCCTCAGGAGAATTATTCTGAGTTAATAACACCTGCAACGAACAGAGATTTTACTGTGAGGTAAATTGCTGTGTGATTGCCCACACATCAGCAAAAATTATAATTGGGAGAAACTGAATATTTTCTCTGTATTTAACTGCTGAGGATTTTGTGGGTGTCGTTTTACATTAAGTAGTAGAGTTATAATTTAGAATGTTTCACAGCAACTGGTTGTGTTTGTTTTAACAGTGAGATTTCTTTTCTATGAGAAGATATCTATTGCTGTCTACTGCTATTGCAACTTTATGCAATACACATTTATAAACCTTTCTTAATCTTAGAGAAAATTTTCAGACAGGCTTTAAACTGTGGAATTTTTTCCCCGTGATTTCTTGTGAATTTAGAAGTTGATACTTTCCCCTACCTAGCTGTATCTCATAAATATCAAGCTAAGTCACAATTTTGATCTCTACATCTGTAGCATATGTACACTCAGCAGCTCCCTGGACAGCAGTGGAAACTACCTAAAGCATACGTTTTTGTTTCTTCCAGATGTTTCAGGAATACATTAATAACTAACATGAAAAACTCAGGTGGAGCTCCTAAATCAAATTTATTATTAACATTATTGTCTATCCTAAAAAAGACAGAGAAAGAAAATTCAATTTTTCTTGTCTCTATATTGCGCTGCATTGTTGTATGCTGAGGTATTGTTTGCATTTTCCAAGAGCCCTGTATCAATTCACAGCTCATGTTTGGAGTAGGATTCAGGCTTCTGCCTGAGAACAATAACACAACCCCAGCAAGAAATGGATAAAGCTTGTATCATTCAAGATCAGTCTACATGGAGAGCCTTGGACAGACCTCTTTTTGCCTGTCCTTTGAAGAGAACCAGCTCTGGTCCACAAGCCAAGTATCCTCGTTAGCAAGATGTAGTGCTGAGCTCAGTAGGTTGCTCAGAGACTTAGTTGCTTGATTCTGGCAGGTTGACATGTTAACACAGCTGGATACGCCTTCTGCATGGGTACTTCTTGGGCTCTGCCTGATTATCTCTGGGCAAATGTGCTTTTGTGACTTGCAAAGTTACATGGGTTCATTTAAATCACAATGCACAATTTACACAATCACAGTGCCTGAGCCTTACTTACCAGCAAGCTCTTCGCTGTAGAGAATATACTTTTGAATTATGCACTGAATGCTGCCAGGAACCTGCTGGTATAGTCTTCTGTCCCTGTCTGTTAATCTCTTGTCACCCTTCTCATTTCTGTGCCTTACAGAGAAAGTTCAGGTGCCCATCTCACTGAACTCAAATTTAGGGTTATAGTCACAGCTGTTGAGTTGGTTATTTTTTTTTCTTTCTTTTTTATTTTTTTCCTGGTTGTAACAAGAAAAAATCCCAACTGGTTAAAGGCTAAGTGAAGAGGAACATATCTACGAGAGTGACAACTGGTTTCAGATGTGTACTTTTAGTGCAGTGAAACTTGTTTCAGTAAATTCCTGTTGTACACCGTTTGCAGTTACCAGAATAAAATGTCCCTGGTGCTGAAGGTAAACATGTAAGAGACAGGGAACTCATAACTGCATGAATGTGTTAGATAATAATATGTAGTGTGTGCCACTGCTATACATAGTAGCTGAACTATTCTTACTGCAACACAGCTAAAGGCTAATATAACACAAGTTCATTTCCTTGGATCAACATAGGATGTATTAAAAAATAATTTGATGGGCAAGATGAGGCTTTTCTGGCTCAGATAATCCTACTGCCTGCTCCAGAGTTCTCTGAGAAGTGTAATGAAATAATGAATCCTTACTGATTGACTAATCTTCCTTTTCCACAACACTTCAAAGTGTTTCCCTTTTTCACTTAAGAACAGAACTGTGGATAAGCAGGCCTCCAGCACAGATTTGTCTGTGAAAGTCCTGCCATGGGCTCCAGCTTCAAGCTTGTCATCTCTGTGTCACTGCTCATGGATCATCCTAGAGTTAACTCAGATATTGCAGGATTAGGGGAAGACCCGATTCTTGGCTCAGGGCGCTAGGGAAGAGGAGAGGAGTCAGATGCATTGTATAAGCAAACCTCCATGTGTCAACATCCATGCACTTGTCTGATGAATTTATCTGCTCCAGCTGCACTGCTCTAAGAGTGGATCTTTCAGTATATGTTTATCTGATGTATTATGTGTCTGACATATGCTGTCAGTTTCTTTCAGAGAAGAACTTCATGGCATAGGGAATGTAATTATGAGGATGATCTAGCATCACCATAGATCCCATAGTATGAACCAAAGTACCAGCTAACAGCATCTGATAGGGCTAGGTGCTCAACAGTGGGAGTTAACCCCTGTCCAAGAGAAAAGTGAAAGAGGCAAGGACTTGACTGCCATTTTACAGAGAGGAAAACCAATGCACTCAGAGAATATATGTTGAGAAAACCATTGGTAGTTCAGAGGAGAAAAAGTGGAAATCTGAAGGTGTTGTTGTGCTGTGGGTTTCTAGTCTATGTTTCAAACGGTCTGTGTCACATGCAAACTTTTGTTGTTTCAAAGCTGTTCTTTTCAAAATGTAACACCCATTGAAAAAATATCTTAAAGAAGGAAAAATAATGGCCAAAATTGGAAGAAAGGAACGTAAGGTATGCAAACCAGATTCCCACTTGCTTGAGTTTAAAAGGGTGTTTTTCTTTTCCTGCTCTATGTTGCAAATATGTACCTGAATTTAGATGCTTGTCTTTGAATAATGTTATGAGCTTGTCCACAACTGATGGGAATTTGTGTACAGGGAATCACATTTAGCTCTAAGTTTGAACTACTGTTGGAATTTAAATGCTGTAAAAAAAGGAAATGAGAAAAGAAAAAATTCTGGTTTTCTAGGTTGTCCTGGGGCCAAGAAGAATGAGTTCCTGACTAGTGTTTTGGATGCACTGTCCACGGATATGGTGCACGCAGTCTCTGATCCATCACTGTCTTCTAGCCGGTGGGTTTCAGTTCCTTTTCGTGTGTCTTTAAAAGAATTCTGGCAGTGGTGAATGAATTGTTGAGGGATTTGAGAAGTAATTCTTCTTCTGCCTTCACAAAGGGTAAATTTCCAAGTACCTATCTAGGAAAGTTTACTTCAAAGTTACTGTTGTGGACTATGTCTACTAAACAGAAATGCCCTTGATAGCTGAATTCTCAGTAGCAGCCCATCTTAGAGTTTATCTGTAGATGCTGCTGCAGCTGTGTCTCACTCAGTCTTTGTTCTCCTCTCAGTCTTTACTTGATGAATGTATGCTACCTTCCTGATTCATATTTTGCCTAGTTGTTTGTAAACAAAACCAATGCTGTCAACAGTCACAGGTAGAATTAAAAATGCATAAGTGCTATCAAACTTTGGGTGTCTGCAGGTCAGGTTTACCATCTGAAGAAGAGGTGGCTGTTATTGTTATAACTTACCCTGTAATTCAATACATTTAGGTGTTTTATCTCTAAGAGCATCCATTGAGGGTTGTAATTGGAGCCTAGGTCTTTGGCGAAGATGACTGTTGTCCTAATTCAGTTGGGTATATTATGCATTTTAATGTATCTGCCATCTATGAAACTGTCTTTTTCTCTTTTATTTCTCTCTTCACTTTCCTGTTTCAGGAAATTAAAGGGGAAAGCACTGTTTCCCAAGTATGGTGCTGACCTCAACACAATTTCAGAGAGTTAACTAAGAGCAGATTCCAGCCCTTAGTGTAAAATTTAAGATACAGTTGGCCATTGTGAAAAAATAGGGATTCACTACAAGAAGCTAGTGGCCAAAAGCAGGGAGATTTATGTAACAAAGCATCTGACAATGATTAAACTATTCTGAAATAAAGATATAAACTGAGGTTTATGTATCAGAATTAAGACTAAACTCTTGTTTTCTATTTCAGGGTTTCAGAGCCTGATCCAAATCATACTCTGGAAGAGAGAGTGGTCCACTGGTATTTCAAACAGCTAGATAAAAATTCCAGTGGTGACATTGGCAAGAAAGAAATCAAGCCATTTAAGAGATTCCTAAGAAAGAAATCAAAACCCAAAAAATGTGTGAAAAAGTTTGTGGAATACTGTGATGTGAACAATGATAAGTCCTTGTCAGTTCAAGAATTAATGGGCTGCTTGGGAGTAACAAAAGAAGAAGGTAAAGCAGAAACAAAGAAACGCCATAGTAAGAACCCTTTCTAACTACCTTTTACACTAGATTCTTCAAAGCTGATGAAGTCTGGTATTTGTATATGCTAGAAGTACACAAAATAAAAGAATACACCTGCCTGTAGCTAAATGCAGCTGTTGCTTGGGACAGATGGCAGGAAAGCAGCTTCTGTGTAGGCAAATCATCACTCTGCTCCAACAGAATCAGAAACTTCCCATTGATTCTGACCATTAGATGTATTACAGTAGGAAACCTAAAAGGATACAACAGCATTAACAGTCATTGAAAAGCCAGTTTAATGTTATTACAATATTATGTCCTGAATGAGTAGAAATATCACACCTGTGCTTTTTGGATTCTTGCTGTGAAGGAAGCACATTGTTGAGATTTCTCTAATGACTTCTAATTTCTCAAATGTGGTTTAGAGATACAGTGAGGAATGTGGTCATCTGCCAAATAGGTGGAACAACCATTGGTATACAGTCACCTTACCTTGATGCCAAACTGATAGAAAGGGGAACAGCTAACTACAGTTCCTGAAAAAGAGGAAGAATTTTTTAAAAAATCATTGTAAACAACAACAGTAGATCCCCATACTGTAAAAAGTTGTAGAATATGAGTATAGGCAAATTGTTTTATTTGTCTGGGACCTTAAAATGAAGCCATGGCTATAAAAAAAAAGGTGTCATAGGAAATGAAAAGAAAGTCAAGTGGGAAACGCAGTCATAAATAAAATGTTTTCCACAAAATTGGTTGTATTCAAGACTAGAAAGGGAGCACTGCAAAAGGACAGAATAGTCTACATTGTACTAATAAAGTAAATTGTCTATGGCTTACAGAAACAGGTGTCTCAAAATAAATATATCAAATCCAGGATTTTTTTTTTCATGTGTTTTTTGTGGACCATATAATAATACCTTGCAATTTTCGCTTAGGTGATGGAAGCAAAAAAATATGTATTGAAAGGTGGATGACTGTTGTTATCTCTATGCTATATATGTGGAAACTGAAACATAACACCTTCTTTTTCATTTACACTATTTGGCAGACCAGTGTTTTAAAGTGGAGGTCATTATGGTCACTTGATATGTTAGCATCCCTTTCAAGACACTTCTGACCTGCTGCAGCTGACACTCCTTGGACTCTTATTGTAGATGAAATTTGGGTCTAAATTCATTGCCCCAGGACATAAAGGAAAGCTATAACAAGACTCAAAGCAAACCCCAGATTTTCCTGTGCCCATTCCAGTGAAAAAACAAAGATTAGGATAAACTGCTTATTTATTTTGGAAAAGAAAGTTGTAAGATACGTGAAATTATATGAAGATCACACACAGATTTAGCTAAAATAAAAATTATGTTCACAGTAACTGGAGATTTTTGACAGAGCTTCTCCAAAAAAATATAGTTAATAATGAGAACATTAATTTTTGGAAAGGAAAAATGTTTCAGAACTTTTGCATTGAAAAAACTAGTGGCATCCAGTTGGAAAAAAATTCTAAATCATATAATCTGGTTACTTTCCTATGAAAACATACTTTTAAAGATAAGAACAGTAAAAATTGCTTTTGTTGGGATATCAGCATTCTGTTCTGTTTTCTCCAGTTTGATAATTCAAATTTCCTTTCTGATAATCCTTTCAGATGCACAAAATAAATCAATCACCAGTTCACTGCAGCCAGAGTTATATTTCTAGGACTAGGTGAGACCCCATCACCCAAGATGTGAGAAATGAGATAAGGAGGTGGCTCTGATCATTCTGTGTGAGTCCCAGGTGTCTTCTGAGAGCCGTCTGAAGCAATACAAAAGCCAGAGAATTGCAAAACATAATTTCTCAGGGGATTACAAGTTGCTGCAGTATTTTTCAAGGTCCAGTTTTGTTCCTCTTTGTCCCAGGACAGCTTGACTGACTAGCAAGCTGACATGGAAAACCAAGAGAGCGAGTTCCTCCCTAGCCCCCCAGGTTTGCTTGTAAAGTTGAATGGGCCAGCAGACTCATGAAGCTGTTTATTTTTTAACCTATTTAGAGCACTATCTTGGGCTTTGCCACCGAGAAACTTAAAAAACAGCGATAATCTTGTTGTTTTACAGATTAAATGTGAACAATGTCTTTGGTCCATAGAGGTCTTCCTGTGCAATATCTTTAAGCAAAATGAATGCTTGCCAGACAGTCTGCTTGTCCATGCTTCTTTCTCACCAGGGATCATAGGCAATCTTTACTACTAAAGATTTAGTAAGTTTGAAATGCTTGACACTGACTAGGCACAATCTGTCCTGAGCAAATGGCACACATTAACTGACAAGAAATGCTGCCATTCAACTTCCGTATAACTCCATGAAAGAAGCAACACCTGTATTGAGGAAAGAAAAAAGTGTGTCTTTCAATGAAAGATCTGAAATAATTTGTCTCATTTATAGAAAGCTGTGCAGATACCCTGTTCTACAAAATACCACTTCAGAATGAGGGCTTCAGTTGGATGCTACATATAATTTGCAAACCATATTTATAATGTTTTCTTTTCCTTCCTTTAGCGGCCCCTAAAACCAACACTGAGAGCACATCATCCAGCAGGCAGGTGAGTATTGAGGAGAGCAAGATCTCCATTCTTGCCTTGCCCAACTGAAATTCTTGGGGTTTTAATGGATAGCAATGCAGCTTCAAACTGCAATAATCTGCCATTCTGCAGACTTGACAGGAAAATGTGGATCAGCACCCCAATTAACAAATTTTGACTTAAGTTCTATCTAAGGAGAGCTAAGTAAGTCAACTACAGGTGCAGAGTAAATGTGCATAAATGCAAAGTGGATGTTTCTAGTAAATTGGCTTATAGGTTAGTGATAATTAGATGAGTGTCATTGAGCCCTCATATGAGTCTTCTGCATTCCTGAATGACAGCATTTCCATACACTTTTAAATGTGCACTATCTTCCTTTACCTTTCGCTTTAACTGAATTCTGTTAACTTATCTGTGTGCCATGCTATAAACACAAACTTACATTGATTGAAATTACTCTTTGTGAACAAAGCCATGCATTTCCCATGCCCTATGAAAGTCTGTACATATCACAAACCCCACTGAATTTCTATATGGTGACTTTAAACAGCTTTTAGAATCTTACTGTACAGAAAAGAGCTGTCAATTTCAAATGCCTTTGCTGGCTGAGCAAAATGATGCTGGACAACTAGGATTTTCATCAGTCTTCTGATGTATGTTAAAACTAAAATTGGTTAGGTCTGCAGAATGTTTGTAGCAAATAAAATGTCGAATGCCCCGAAAAGATAATCTGTGATTTGTTTTTTTCATCAATTTTCTGTAAAGACTTGATCTTTCTTTTCCAAATAACACCATTGTATGTCATTCATGGCATTTTGGCTATTCAGGTAGCCAAGGCATTCAGAGTTACAAAAGGCACAAAAGCAGAGTTTTTAAATCAAGGAAAGGTATACATTGAAAAGGAGGGGCTTGAGTGGAAGCTGAAGAAAAAAGGTTAAAAAATGGTTTCTCATTTGTGTTTATCTATTTTTATAATCATTAATCCTAAGTATTCAGTTTTCTGGACAACATGGGCACAACTTCTTAACACTTTTGCATAGGTCTGAAGAAGGACTTGTGAGTGTGACAGTTATTTGAATGGCCTAGGAAAAGAATCATCTTCGTACCATTCTTGCTTCAGTTTTTAATTAGTTAGGGGAATTAAATTAGTAATGCCCACAAAAACATCAGTAAATATATTTTTTTTTTTTTTAAATGTTCATATAAACATATAAGAACAGCTGAGGTAGCCCTGCAGCTGGGAAAATAGAAATTTGTTTAAAAATATTCCAAAACCATAGTGGTGGTTAATGTCTTCTTATCTATCAGAAAGCTAGATTAATTTGTTAAAAAACAAACTCACTGTGAACCTCCTCACAAGCCAGAAGAAATCTTCCTCTCATTGTTGCTGGTCAATTTGTTACTTGCTTTATCTCTGATTTGTTTGATGTTAGGTTCACACTTCCTAAGGCAAGCTCAGCATTGGTTGTGGATTCTACCAGAGACCTCCTACATACCTTTGATGGAGTATAAAATATTCTCACAGCTAGAGGGATGTGATAAGTTTCTGTTTGTTTAAACAAATGTTTGTGGTCTTAACTTTTCAAGTTCCCCCCACAAATCACTTATGCTTTAAACAAGGCAGCCTGAAAACAATTACCCTGTCAGAACTCAGAAACATTCAAAGGGGTTATTTTAATTATATAATGGCAATTACTGGCACACGTGCATTACACTTGAAGCATGACAAGCCCTCTCCCCTTTCTTGTAATCTGATCCTGACTTGCAGAATCTATAATAAAAGTGTCCTAGAGCGTCTATGTTTTTTAATTTTGTCCTATAATTTTGCTGACTCAGCACCAATTATTTTAAAAGCTGTTACTGACAAATGATAGCCTTGAATTAAGGCTGGCTCAGCAAACCATCTGTTGGCAGTTTCATACTTAAACAATACAAGGCTGCAAATGCAGAAGGTGGCTTTCATCACAAAAGCTTTTACTTGAAGTTATTGAAAAGCAACTGGGCTGGGTAGGAGCCACTCAAAGGAAACCACCCATCTAAGAAGGTGTGATCAGATTTGCACCACTCAGGAGATGGGCACTCAAGAGCTCATTTTCTACTAGTTTATAGTGGCTGGTCAGTTATATATATATGTTTATGTATGCTTAGGCATGTATTTCTGAATGTTTTTTTTAACATATGTACATATCTGTATGTGTACCTGCACATACAAGTTTATGGAAAGAAAGAAGATACACATACCTATATTAATTTTCTAACTGAGTCTCAGCTGTGGTTGCACTAAAAGAGGTCAAATACATGATGGATCTGACAGAATTGGGGTAGTGGCCAGGTATATTTTCCTTGCTCAGCTCCACCCTCCCCAAAAAACATACACATACACACGCACACACACTGTCAATGAAACCCAGAGGGTCTTTTGCAGCCTAGCAAAAAATTTACAAGGAAACTATAGATTGTCCATAAGACTTTGGCCAGCAGCCCATTCCTTATACATCATATGCCATAGAAGGGTATATTGCACCAGGGACTTGCCCGTGCAGTTGCTAGAACTGTGTTTGACAGGTATAGATTTAAAGAGGCCATAGGTAAGAAATAGTAAAGATGTTGTTCATACACTGTTTGTAGATGCCATGAAGGACTACAGGGTAGGGGTTTTTTTATTCCCCATATATATTTGTGCAGAACTCTTGTTCTGACAGTGGCATGTGGACACTGCTGAAAAATAGAGATAAATGCTTATACTTGATTACTTGAAAACATTATTAATAATGCAAATTTTTCCGTCTTTCTCTCAGCAGGTTTCTAAGAAGCAAGGGTGAACAACTTACTGATCCAAGGCAGATCTCTTTGACATGTGGGAGATTTCCTCACCAAAAGGCAATAAAAACAACTGTAGTATTTGCACTTTGTACTTAAAAATGTAAATTCACTTTGTAGAAATGAAATATTTAAGCAGACTTTTTTTTTTAATCTGTGAAAATGTAATGGTTAGTTTTAAAAAATTATCACATACAATGTATGTGTATTCTTTTGTTGTCTGAAATATGTAAAACGTGTTGGAGATGTAAAAGTTTGCATTTAAACCATATTTTAAAAATAGCTTTTTGGTAAACAGTAGCATAGAAACCTGATTCTATCTATTTTGGTTTCAATAGTATGCCTTGTTTTTCTTAATCAATACTGTCATTTAAGTAGAGTTATGCTGAGAAGTCTACTGTATTCTCAATTTTGTCCAAGCAGTGTTGGATGTTTCAGGTTTGCAGGACTGAGGGAAGTGTGTAAATTGCTGTTTACTTGGTTTTGCATTTTTTAACTGAACAGATTTTTCATCAGTGGTAATATTTTATTTCATTTTGGTTTTATTGTTTTTATTATGCTTTCCAAAGATCATGCAATGAGAATGCAACCACTAATGGATTCAAAACAGTTATTCTACAGTTGGGATACTTGGAGAAAAATGTATCCTTTTATCCATTTTTGAGATGCCTTCCATTAAAAGTTTTGGTAGGATTTTTTCCCCTGTTTGTTTTCACTTGGGTTATTAATACAACAAGCCAACAAGGAGCAAGGTGGATTGTAATGTCACTCCAGTCTGGTTCAGCCTGGACCTAAAAGCATGTTTCTGTGCTCAGTGCAAAGCAGGAGCAGAGTTATGTGGGTTGGAATTGTAAATCTACCTATAAAGAGACAGGGAAGGCTAAACAGGCTGTTCGACCTTTTCTTCCCCTACAACTGGCTGCCCCCATCAACTCTTAGGTTTGCCTCGGGGTCCACTAGTGGTAAAGCTGAACAAATGATGAACAGTTGCCATCAGGAGGGGCTGCTCACATGGCCCCTGCCTTTGGCTTTTTCTTTGCTGTCTGAAAGAAGTTCTCACAAGTTTTCATACCTTCTTTGTCATTTCACCCCCCAGTGCTTTTTTTATACTTGTGTTTGAGGGGAATGAGAACTTGTGGATGTGAATCTAGAGCAGGGGACCCAAGTGAAAAAGGTTCAGCTCTTGAACAATTGTGAATTACAAGCCGCTGGGTTGATCGATGCAGTGGTAGATGGACTGCTGGCATCTAGGAGCTGACATGAAAAGGCAAGAATGTTGCAACAAGCAGTGATTTCATTATGGTTTGTTTAAATAATGTGTGGGATCTGACATGTGACTAGCTACTCATAATATCACTCTGGCTTGAGTTTCTACCCGGAAAAGCTTTTTTGCAAATAAAAATGTTTCAATTTCAACATATGCTGAAGTGATAGGAAACACTGTATGCAGTGGAATTGTACCCCAGAAGTTGTGTACTCTAAGCTTTGGCAGCAGGAGAAACTAAGATGGAACTGTGTATTATCTTGTGGTTTTGTTTTAAAAAGTATTTTTTATTCTTTTATACTGTTAAACTTTGAATTTAATCTTCTTTATAGATTAAAGATCAGTATGCTATCAAACTATGCTCGTGGTTTTTCTTCTGCAACACAGATAGCCATGTTTGGAAGCAGGTACACAAGTTTACAAGAAACCTCATGACTTCACATTGTGTCTATCTTCTTTTCTTCCCTTGCCTTGCTCTTTTACTGAATTCTCTCCTAAGGTCATTCATGCCTTATTCATATCATTGCGTTCTCAAAATAGTGATTCTGAGGCCAGATCCTTTGTTGATACTATCTCCAGATAGCTTCAGCTTGGTTTCTTGCCTCTTCTCAGCAAAGTGCAATGTGGAATAGACAGAGATCACACCTTTTCCCCTTGGTGCGAGCATGAGCTTCTGGGCAGCTTTCAACCTGACTGGAAACAATGAGGAGAGAGAAGCAAACCCTGAGAATGCTCAGCACTTGATTAGGTGGGCATAGTATGGCTAATAGCAGTGCTGTGTAAAAAGCATCTAATTCCATCACTGTGGCCTTCAAAGACATTATAAATGTATGCAATGAAATATTTTGCCATGTCCATGGTTTGAAATCGCAGCCCATTTAAACTGGGAGGGTGTATGGGGAGGCAGATTTGGACTAGCCACTTGATTATGTAATGAGTAGCCTTAAGAGCTTATCAAAACACAAACAAATGCTACAGGCATTCTCTATAGGTATCCAAAAACTTCTACAACATCGAGTAATTTAATGACTCTACAGTGACTGAAATATCAGGTATTTCATCTTTGTATGTATTTCCGTGTTGTCACATTTATGGTTCATTTCAATTTCCAGCCATTACACCACTTGGCTATAAGCAGTACTCAGTTCTCACAAAGTCAACATCCCTAACTGGAACACAAGTGAAAGCCTGCTAAATTCACCTTGGGTTTCTGTATCTCCCATATATCCACAGGATAGTTAAACTTGGATAAGGCTTGGCTTTTCTAGTTGTAACTAAGCATGGCCTTGATACCAAAAAGGAACCCATGTGATGGGCCCTTAGGCTCTCACTATAATACCAGTGTTTATTTAGTTCCACAGTAATTAATTAGTTCTAGTTTTTGCCCTATTCCATGTGCAACAATTTAGTTTCAATTTTAATTCTGTTCTTATTGAAAGCACAACTTATATTCTGCTTCTCAAAGACTGATATTTGTTCTAGTTCCAGCTGTTGCTGAACAGATTTATTTAAAGCTTTTATAAAGTTGTAAGTAGAAGACTGTTAAGTCTTCAAAATGTGCATGTATTCAATGGTTTGTCCAGCCTGTTGCAAAGTCCATTAGTCAACGGGCCACACAGTGAGAAGTGTTCTATGTTTTTTCAACACTATGGATGACTTTCTCATCTTGTTCCCAGCCCTACAAGTAGTCCAGTTTTACCAAAATCACTTGATTCTCAGTCTTCTCCCAGTCTAACAAAATTCCTAGCTTTCAGATACTCATTTTGCAGAACTGAGACCTAGATGATTGCTTGGAATGATAATTTTTCTTGTTAATGTCATTTCAGATGTTAAGAGAGCAAAAATGCATCAGTTTATATGAGTGTAAGGGAGAAGATGTAAACTACTGTCTGCATATAAACCAAGGAATACACCGTATTTTTCTCATTTGACGAGGCTTTTGCCCTTCATGAATGCCATAAACCAATGGAGGAAGCAGGCATTCCTAGAAAGCTGGAAGGGGAAACAAAATATATAGATTACACCATTAAAGACATTTAAACATGTCCAAGATTAGATAGATTTAATTAGTATTTTCCATTTACAGTAGTAATAAAAGATGGATTAATAAAGGTTAAGAGATCTTCCCTGGCAAAGACAATTTAATTGTCCCTATTAAATATTTACATTAGTGTATTATATAACTAGGTTATAGAAGCTAGACTGAAAGGGTCTTTAATGCAGAAAGTGAAAGGTTTATTACTTTTGTTTTCTTTAGGATGGCAAATTGATGTCATTTTGGAGTAATTACTTTGACATTAAATAACAACCAACTAAGTCTATTGATGTCTGAAACATTAGAATTATTATAGTAAATTAGTGATACAAACTGTACTCTGTCACATTTAATTGTTTCAATTCAAGTTTTATAAGAGAAAATATGCCCTTTGTTTAAAAAGCATAAATAATACATGTTATTTTTTTCTTTAAACAAAAGCTCATGTGGAAAGCATTCAGAACATCACATTGGTCTATAACATCCATTGAGGGGGGTGGCAGGGAGGCAAGTCTGTCTGTTTTTTATCTAGGTTAGCAGTAGAAATATGTGCAATATTTTGCCTTTCTTACATTCACCTTTCTTATTTCATCATATGCTTTGTCCTCTGACTAATGTCACTGGTGGAATAGAAAGCCTATTGGAAGAGAAGATTGTGATATGAGAGTCCATTCTGTGCATGTGAACAATCTTTTCTATAACATACAGTCATCTGAGGCATCCTTTCCCTAGAGACTCTACTCTTGACATCAATTAAATGCATAGGATTGATTGCTTCTTATTAAATACAGAATTCTTCTTTGCGTGGACATGGAGTCCATTCTTGGCTAAATGGGTACCTTATGAAGAAAATCACTCTTAAAAGATTAGCACAGTCTGTGAGATTGTAGGTATCATACCACAAATAAAGTCTTATAAAGATTTAAAAATCCCACTCAGTACCTGCAGAACATCCATGAAGATGCCTCTATCTCTTCTAAGTATTCAGTCAGGGGGAAAAAAAAATAAAAAAAAGAAGTGGTGAATCAAACTTCCATTGAGAAACATTGTTTTCACTAGGTCATGATTGATTGATTTCATGCAATTGAGGGTTTCTGTAAAAATTCACTTATAAAAGTATTTTTTTTCTTTAGTGGTTATTTTGATGTTGAAACTTCCGTTCCTTTATCTAAAAAGCATGAAGTGTTAACACTGAGAAGGAGCATTTTGACATCAATTTTATCCAGAATTAGATATTGTGAAAGGTAGCAGCATTCTTGCTCTTTCCCCAACTTTTTTTTTTTAAAAAATCATACTTGTTTGAAAGAAGTCAGGTTTCCAAACACTAATTTGGAGACTTCATCTGAGTCTCATTTTACAGTCTTTGAGTATCTTTCTGTCCCTACATGAGGCAAAGAAATGCTATATTTTCATTTAAGACCACTGAAGCTTGATGAACTGATGGATTTAGCATTGTATGCACACAGAACATGAAGAAAACGGCAATATGCATAAAGGTATTTATACAAGTTCTTATCTATGCAGCACAGTTGAAGCAGTGTGAGTTAGTTACCTGCAGAAATAATATAGGGCACTTTTCCAGCTTTCAAAACAAGCCTTCCATGGGACTAAACGCAAACACCCTCAAACCTAAATTAATATCCTAGCATATCTCTTTTACCAGTCGTTTCACTCAAAGGCTGATGCATGCCAAACCCCACTTGGACCACTACCTGAGGAGCAGCACTAGCTCTGTTGGTGTGTAGCTCCCCAGGTGGTTTTCCTGAACCCGCAGCTTGGGTTCAGTCTTGTGAGACCTCAGGCTGGGACCAAGGCCCAGAACAAAGAACACAAAAAAACCCCACCATGACAAATACTGTAAATTATAGGAAATTACTCCATAGCTCAGATATTTTACCCTGATGGGGTGTGACCCAAAAACTCCTGCCCTGTATCATCAATGACTTCTTGCTAACCTCTTGCTTCTTAAACCATCAAATCTGTACTCGGAGTAACAAAACATTGTGCTTCAGCTGAGGGACAGTCAATGTGAGTCTCAGCTAAGGAGTATTTGAGAAATACTGCAACCCCTCAACAGATGCAAGTGCTTAGTTAACTCCCACCTAACAATTCCTCTTTCTGCTCAGCAGCATATGATGGATCAGTGTCTGCACACATCAGCTCTTTAATGCTCTGCAGATGGGAGGTGTGCTTCTCTGGGTCTTCAGGGTATTTCTTTGTGTTGAATGCTCAACATTGAGGTATGAAACTTGTTCTCTAGTCCATCTCTTGCTGTTTTCCCAGGAGCCTGAATTGTATTTTTGCTGCTTTGTATAGGTTTCAAGAAATATTTTACAAGACAAAATAAATGAAGGATTAGGTGCTGAAGTGGAAGAAAGAAAAGAATACACAGTTTAAAAAAGACTAATTAAACAAAAAAAAAAAAAAAAAAAGAGAGAGAAGAAAAAATTAATCAGAGGAACAGAGAGAGGAGTGGAATGGAAGGAGCATCATGGGGATACCACAGGGGATGTGAGGAGGGTAGCCAGAGCTCTGTGCTAAAGCCACATATGAGAGTGAAGGAAGAGCAGACAAGGAGACAGAACAAGTATGGAAGGAGAGAAAGCAGGTAGAAATGAGGAGAGAGGGTAAAAGGGGAGGAATGACAGAGGAAAGAGGAATGGAAACAAAGCAAGCATAGAAATAGTAAAGACAGAAAGAAACAAAACTGCCAATAAGACATCCATGAACAGGAAAAGTCTGAGGGACCCAGGAGAGAAAAAGAACAGAAGGGACACAGGTGAAAAGGAGACCCCAGACTTCCTCTTCCTGGGAACAATATTGTTCTCACACAGCATCACTTTCTGACCTATACAAAAGGTCCGGCCTGCCCTTGGATTGCTTCCCTGTCCATGCATAAGGTCTGAATTTGGTGCTCTGTATCCCAGTGGCTCCAGGACTTTGTTCCAGGAGACATTTGTTTTCATGGCCAATCCTAAGGCTTCCTTTAGATCCAGGAAGTGTAAGCAACATTTAATGAAAATGTGAAAGCAGAAACCAGCATATTTCTAAATTAAGTGCAGATTTGAGCAGGATGAGGAAATCTGAACCACAACAAAGATAAATTTCCTTTTGTATGTTTTATTCATAAAGATGCAAGCAAAGTGTAATTAGATTTTTTCTAAAAAGTTTTTTTTTTTTTAATTCATTGTACCAGTAGATCCTCTACAGGCTTGTCTGATACCCTACAGTTTAACATTTTCTTTAATCAACACATTGATGGCAAAGGATTACAAGAGAGTGCTGGCTTCTCATTGTCTTTTTTTGTGGTTGCCTTT